GGTAGGAAAGCACGTTGTCGATAGCTGATTTAGTCCTTGGTTTATAATTTTCTCGTGTTGGGGCAGTTATCCTGTATGGCAGTGTAAACTTAACCCATGGAGACTTAGGCCTTCCTAAATGGTCATAAACTGGGCGGGAGGAGCGTTGAAATCAACCAGTGTATGAATGATTGTGTGTTTGTGAACAAAATGACCTGGCAAACAAGTACATCGTAAGTCACTTTTGCTAAAATGATCCTTCTAGCCTTGCAAATCACACAAGTTCTGCCTGTCTCTCTGGGGCACTAACAGCATACACAAGCAAAACAGCATTGTTGGGACTGCTGATAAAGGAACACGTAACACTTTAATTAACTGAGAATACTTAATATGTTGCCCTGCCTATGTTGCAACTGCAAGACGAGCTGTAAACACCTATTAAAACAACACTATTATGTCCTACTACCAAACTTCTCATCTGTCACCTTTTAAATATTTTAATCTGAGATTCTTTAAAAGCTGTCTCCGCTGTTCTTACTCTCTGGATGTAAACAGATTTGTTAAATATGTTTTTTCTAACCCACCCACGAAGTTACATTCATTTACATAACTTAATGAAGGCTGCATTATTCATTGAACTTCTCATATAACATTTTTCATAAGACATTACTAAACAAGTGAAGCAAGCCAGTCTAGTAATGAGCCTTCTCTAAACTTGCTGCCAGTTACGTTTCCTTTCTCCTAATCTATCACTCTAATGGTTGCAACTAATAAACTTTTTGAATCTTTGCTGCTAATCTGTATATGTTCTGCATTGCATGCTGGATGTATAACTTGACAGAGAATTTACAATACAAACCACCTGGCAAACAAAACTATCTGAATTAACAAATGCTATCCAAACCTACCGACTCTTTTTTGTTATAATAGAGAAGACAACTACATGCAACATAGTACCTTTAAGCCATAAATTAACTAATTAATTTAGGCCTGGAGCATACCCTACTGAGCAGTATGTCCCAGACACAAGATTTGTGACTGCCTTTTATAATTTCAAAAACATTGCCAAAAGTCAATAGATTGAAGTTTGGTTTACTTCAACGTTCAGCAGAGACACAGCCTTGTATAGGATCCTATAGGCTTGCATAGGATCCTGTTAGACTGTTCTAGGAAAGTTGGTATGTAATCATTTTAAGGTAAAGAAATTCTGCAAGGGGTCGCTTGCACTCGGGCTGCTTAATCTGTATGTGGGACTAAATCAAGAGTAGTTGGATTTTCAGGGAGCCTAAGCAGTGCAGCTCCCTTCAAGACAGATAGCAAATTTTGAGAATTTATACCTCATAAAAATAAATTCTAATGCTTAAAAAGAGAGAGATGGATCTAGGGGTCTAATTTTACGCATATGACTTTTAAATGACTGGGGCATAACTTTTATCAGCATCCACCCTGAACACCTCTGCCAATGTGTAGAATTAACAAAACACAGCAGTGTTCTGTTCTCAAAGATGACTAGATGCAGATTTGTAAAAACAGATTTAAAAACTTCCTATAGCTCTTAGGAAAGTACCACTTGAAAGTCAAGGATGGAATATTTTCCATATTATTAAGTATTTTTCTTGGTACCTCTCCAAAGGTTATTTGAAATCACTGACCAGAATAAAATAAGAAAACATACAATAGATTGAAATGGGGTAGAAAGAAGGGCAACCTTTTTGTTGGCCTCTCATCCTGCAAGGTCCAGGAAAAGACCCCTGTGGTAAAGGCACAAAATAAAGTAAAATGCCAGAGAGTAAGTGCACAACCTTAAGTATACAAGGCTTCAAATGATACTGTCACTTCAACAGATGCTTTTAGGAACCAAAAGAAAAAATCCTTTCCTGGCTCAGCTGCTGAAAGTGACATGAAAGTAACATATCCTAGTTTCACTAGGACAAAATAAATAAATCTGGTCATGTTATTTTTAATCAAGCAAGTGGTTTTTTTTTTTTTTTTTATGTCCAATAAGTCTTCAGCATTCATTTGCACACTTTTTCCTCACTCATACAACCATTATCAAAATTCACTAGTACCCGTTCTGAACATATCTGGAAATACTATTGCCTTTCAATCAGGAATCGATTTATCATATGGCCTTCCTCAATGTCAGTTTACACCAATGTCATTCTTTGATGTCATTTTTATTCAGGAATGGCTATAACTGTGGTGTTAAGAATCACACATTTAGCATTGCATAGAGACTTCAGAAATTCTAAGCACCCGAGATGCTGCTGGCTGACAGAAGCTACTCTTTACATGGGTTTAGGAGAAGCGTGGGTTGCAGCAACCCAGCTTACCCTCAGAGAAGAGCCAGCATGCTACATATAAATCATGACTTTTTACTCCAGGACCAAAGCATAGCACCTACTGAATCGTGTGCATTTTTTTTTGGAGAGAGATGTAGTCAAAGATTTTCCCCTTAAATGACAGGTTAACTAAGAGGTGGAATACGAAATACCCCAAAAAGGCCCAATTAAAAGAAGGGAGTGAGTGCTCCCCACAGAATCTGTCCCCTTAATATGTTTCAGTTTGTGAGCCTTGGAGCACCAATCACTTACCATAACACATGGTAACACTTGCAACAGGAAAGCTGGAGCAGGGCTGTAGGAGCTACCTGGTAGCAGCAGAGCAGGCTGAAGCAGCCGCTTCCCCTTCCTGCCACCTCCGCCTCCACCACAGCACCCCTGTACAAACAAGATTCATGCAGGGAGCTGGAGCGAGGACCCGGTGTGCTTGAAAAACAACAGGGGTTTTTGGTAGGTAATTTTTCAGCAAGAACAGTTCCTGGATCCAGCATAACAAAAGGAGTAGGGGCAGGAGGTGCTGGAGCTGCTCAGCCCCTAAATAGCAGCCACAGGCTTGGTGGGTGCCCACACCAGCGGCTGCTGAGCAGGCAAAGCTACATCTGATCATAGCAGAGCTCACCTGAAACTGGTCTGCAGCCAGCATCTAAGCTGTCAAGATACAGCTGCATAGAGGAGATTAGCAGGGGTTGTAAAACCTGCTCAAGAAGTTGGGCAAATATTTTAGCAATTAACCCACACTGAGCTCCGTATTACTGCAGCTACGCTGCTACCATTTCTTGGGATAGCTTGTTTAAAGCTAACTCCAAGATGCCTAAATTACACAGCAGTGACAGACCGTTTAACTACAGAGATAAATTATACAGGGGCAGTGCCTAACGTAGGTTGTGTTGTCATGATTTACAACAGCTGAGGATGTGCCCCCAGATGTCAAAATCAAATTAAGTATATGATTTTTTTTTTTCTCCAAACATAAAAGCCTTGCAAACTTGACTCAAAAAATAAAAAAGGAAACAGAGAAATTCTTGTATGACCTTAGACTTACA